GTCTTCAAGTCGCCAAGGTTGAAGAACCCCATTTTAGGAGTTCAGGGTAGTTTATTATATTTATTATATTGTATTAATTATATTATTTGGATAACTTCCCTCTATCCTTATCCACACAAGGACCCTGCAAGGTGGTCTCGTCCATGTATTACAGCCGGAAACAGCAGGGAAGATCTTTGTGGCATCTTAAAAAGTTAAGGTGGCTGCAAAGTTTTAGGGACCAAACCGTGGTTCTCTCAGATGCCTAATGAAAAGTTTTCTGGCTTGGCGGGTCATTTCTGAGATTGCCAAACCTTTAGCTTTAGAAGTGAGCAATGGGCAGTGAGGCAACATCTCTCATTCCCCCAAATAGTAGGGGAACACCCAGCATGTGAAGTGGACAATAACAACAGATTGTATATGGTTGTATATGTCATTTAATCCATTTCTTTGCTGAGGCAAGAACCCTAGTCAAGAGAGCAAAGGTGGAACAACAGTAAGGCAAGCCTGGCTTCCTTATGAGGAGAATCAGTTGGACCTATGCTATTTTCTTCCACTGAATTTCCTTTCTGAATGTTTTCTTCCCTTGACCATAAGAACAGAAGTATTTTTTCCCCTGACTCTGTTGAAAAGGCTCCCTGTTGGTACAGTGGGATTAAACATACAATTATAGTGCACTGATATTTCTGAAGTGCAAAACGACATATGCTCTGAAGGGGGTGAAACAGAAAGAAGAAAACTCCATTAGCAGAATGTTCTCATGTAATTCACTCTGCAAAGAGCATGAATTACACTGAAACTTAAGCATAATTATACTGACTGTTTCTAAAGCGATGTGGATGGTGGGTCAAACATTGTCCGTTTGGTATATTCTTGCACATAAACACCTTGTGTGTTTAAGAAACCTTTCCCCTTTGAAATAGCTATCTCCTATCCCAAGGGAAAATATTTAGGGAAAAGCACGCTGCAGGACATTTGGGCAAGTCTCAGTAGCATATAGAATTTATTTACGTTAGCCTGTTTGTAAGCAGCGGGATGTTCGCAAAGCACCACCTTTTGTAAATCCGCTGACGCTCTGTGACAGTCTTCGAGGCTGGCCCCGTACGTGCTGCGCTGCGGTTGCCTCTCCTCCAAATCCACCCTTTTGTCTTTGCAGCATATCATCAAGAAAGCTTTAGTTGCAATGTCTCTCTCCCCAACAATGCTGCCATGCAAGAAGAGGAAAGCCATCCGGATGGATCCCTTTTCCGAAGCCCAGCCTGTTCCGATGGAGGCTTCTCCTTCAGGTGCGGCGAACCGACTTGGGGATTGGCGTGAGATCAACTCTGCTTTGAACAAAGGGGAGACATTGATCAGTCTGAGTTTGGGGATGGCCCCTTTTCTATCACCCCCGATTCTGTAATGGCTGTAGAGGAGCTGCAGCTAGTGAGACAGCTAGATCAGGCCCTTTGTCAAATTGATTCCTTCTCAGTTTAGTGTACTTCCACTCCTATCAGCCAGCAGAGCCAACAGATCAAGCGAGTTTATTTATTTATTCATTTGATGCCTACCCTGCCTTTTCATTCAGGAGCTTAAGGCGGTGTATATAGCAATCCCTCCTATTGTTTTCCCCAACAACAAACTTGCAAGGTAGGCTGGGAAGAGGAAGACTGACGGGCCAAATCATCCAGGGAACTTCTTTGGCTAAGGGAGGACTTGAACCTGAATGTCCCCAATTCTTCTCCAGCACCGTCACCCCTGAACTGTACTGTCCGTAGAGCTGAGCAGGAGGGACTGGCTCAGGGTCCCCCAGGGAGCTTCTGTGGCTGTAGAGGGTTTGAACTAGGGCCTCCTGGCTCCTAGTCCAACACCTTATCCTCTACACTAGTTTTTCTCAACCTTGGCAACTTTAAGATGTGTGGACTTCAACTCCCAGAATTCCCCAGCCACACATCTTAAAGTCGCTAAAGTTTAGAAACACTGCTCTACACCATATTAGCTTTGCAAAATAATTAGTCTTCCTTCCTATATGTAGCCACATATAGATTCTTACTGTCGAGAGGATGTTAGGTGATGCAAAACCAGGGGTTAACTAAAGCAGGGAGAATCTTCATTTCAGGGGTACACAGCAGGTTTGCCAGCAAATCACATTTTCCAGGGACCGTGCTGGATAATCAGCTTAATGAGGTAGGGAAGTCGAGTTGGATATCCAAGAGACCTGGGAGGCGTCGTCTTTGTGCTCAGAAATGCTGAGCCCCTCTGAAACATGTCAGTTCCCCCTTAGTTTATGCTCCAAAGCATGACTTGGGAATGCTGTCGATTGTAAGTGGCGTTTCCACGGATTTTCCCTCTTCCTTCTAGCTTGCCCCCTTTTGCCCAAGCCAGAGACGGAATGGGAGGAGGGAGAAGTTTCTCCAAATGTGAAATTCCCCGGGGCTACACAGAGTGTCGATTCGCTCCAAGAAGTTAAGGAGGAAGCTGAGGAGATGGGCCTTTTTATTCCAGTGGGTGAGTACTGAATGGACCAAATACCATTTTTTTTGAAGTGGGGTGGATTTATCGGTTTCATGCTTACATCACCTCTTATTAGCGGCTCAGATTCTGTCTTCCTCCATTTCATCCCCTACGAGAAACCAAGTGCTTCAAAAGTTCTGGGGCGAGTGGGGTAGCTGATCCAGCCCCCTCTGGTTTCTTCACCCACCTGTCATGATCACACAGCCCTTGGTTCCTTATTTCCAGAAGAACGAGAAGGAGGGAAGAAAAACCGCCGGAAGACACTTAAAAGGAAATGGGAAGGGAAGTGCCCGGAGGAAGATGGAGGAGGAGGAGGAGGAGGAAGAACTTTAGCTTGTGACCTCAAATTGGACGACACCTTGGACCGGACTTTGGAAGACGGGGCGAAGCAGCACAATTTGACGGCCGTCAACGTGCGGAACATCCTTCACGTGAGCGTGGGAGGGAAGCGGCTGATTGGCTGGGGCGGTGTTGGTCCTTGTGCTTGATTTCTCACCACTTGCTCCCTAGCAGCGTGGCGCTCCTGTTTCCTTGCTTGACTGCAGCCACCTTCGCTGGCAGCTGAGAGCACAGGGTGGCTGCTCTTAGCTCGGTGGTAAGAGAGCTGAGAGCTGTATTTCTCTGTCTTCCCCCCCCCCCGCACTGCAGGAAGTCATCACCAACGAGCACGTGGTGGCCATGATGAAAGCTGCGATCACTGAAACGGAGGACGCCCCTGTCTTTGTAAGTCTTGCTGCCCTCAGAATTAGAAGCAGTGGAAAGCGGCGTTTTCCAGAAGGAAGGAAAAGGAGACACCAGATCTAGTCACATCAGCTTCTGCATTGTTGTTAAACATCTTTTTTCCCCTGTGTCTCTCTCTTTCTCTCTCCCATTTAGGAGCCAAAAATGACACGTTCCAAGTTGAAAGAAGTGGTGGAGAAAGGTGTGGTAAGTAGAATATATATATATTTAGAAGATTTATATCCCCTCCCCTCCCCTCCCCTCCCCTCCCCTCCTTCCTTCCTTCCTTCCTTCCTTCCTTCCTTCCCTCCTTCCCTCCCTCCCCCTCTTCCTCCCTTCATTCCTTCCTTCATTCATTCCTTCATTCCTTCATTCA